TCAAACCAACATGATTTCCCTCCATTTTTTAATTGGAAGGAATCCCACCTCCCACATGCAATACGGGCAGGCTAACTTTCCATGTGTGCTTCAACCCGACAACATTGCATAAGCCGAGAAGTCGTTGATGGTCCATAGTAGTATAACCCTCATCTCGAAATTATTCTTACGATATGCATCATACGTAATAACACCCTCTGTATACAATATTTCTAGATCATCTATTAGCGGCCTGAAAAACACATCCAAATTCTGACCGGGGCTCTTTATACCAGGGATGACCAATGCAAGCTCAACATACAAATCTTTCAAAGTCATCCAAGGAGGTAAATTGTAGATGGTAATAAACACAGGCCATAGTGAATCGGATTCGAAGTTGAATTATTCTGGTTGAAACCATCGGTGCATAACCCAAGAAGAACATTCCGGATCTCAGAAGCAAAGTCAGGATCCCTCATGTCGAAATGCTTCCAAGTCGCACCATCACTTGGATGTACCATCTCACCCGGTTTCGCTCGATAATCGTAATGCCAAGTCATCTCTTTCACGGTCTTTGGAGACATATACAATCTTTGGAGTCTTGGAACAATCGTTAAGTACGTCAACACCAAGTTAGGGACCTTCTTCCGTCCACTAGTCTTGTAATGACTTTCATTGCATACTCGACAGTGGGTCAACCCAGAATCATGCTTGTAAAATAGCATGCAATGGTTTTTGCAAGCATTGATCTTTTGTTTTGGTAGATCAAGATTTTTCAAACTCTTCTTAATCTCATGAAAGTTACAGGGTAATTTATCATCCTCAAGTAGCATCCGCTTAAAAAGGGGAAGCAATTTATTATATCTCGTCTCGAGTACATTCCAATGTAACAAATTCGTCGCAGCTCCTAATTTTGAAAAAGTTTGACATCCATACCATAAAGGCTCGTCAACAACTTGTAACATGTTATAAAATCCTTGGGCAGAAGAATCAGATGTTTGTTCTTCCCATGTCATGGCATCATGTACCATGTGATCGTTCACCATTTGGAAATAGCCTTCATTATGATCCACTATAGAATTAGAAGAGGCCCACATTTTGATGAGATGCATGACAATAGGTTTCACCATTTCCCCACCAAATAGTATAATCAAGCATGAAACCATATTGCATGAAGTGTAGTTTCACGTCTTCTCTTTCTCTATAGGCTTCGTTTCGACACTTGGAGTAAGGACATCTGATCTGGAACACTATCCCATCATGTTTAGTTCCCCTTTCAACATAATCTTCATTGGCATAGGCAATATCCAAAAAACCTTCCAAATGTCTGACATAGGTCCGGCTAAGAGCCCCTCGATCATCATTCTTTCTATATATTCATACTCTATTTGTCGACATATTCAATAACTACAACTAATAAAGAAGTAGTTAGTCGACATAATCAACGTAGAGGTGGTGTAGAGGAGTTTTGGGTTACTTTAAAACTCTAAGTGTACCGATTTAACTACTTGAAAGTCAAACCGTAGGTGTAGGGGAAGTTGGAGGTCTTTTGAACGAGTTAAGAACGAACCATATAAAGTTTTAAATACTAGAAAGTCAACCCGTGGGTTTAGAGAATTTTGGATGACTTTAAAACTCTAAGTGTAACGGTTTGACTACTTGAAAGTCAAACAATATGTGTGAATGAAGTTGGCGGTCTTTTGAACGAGTTGAGATGCCTACATGTAAAGTTTTAAGGTTGGAAAGTGGGTTGCATAGATTGTTTTAGTGATTCGGTTTGCAAAGTAAACCACCCATATATACATGTATGTGTGTGTGTGTGTGTATATATATATATATATATATATAGAGAGAGAGAGAGAGAGAGAGATGGAGGTTCAAATGGAAAACCCCAAAAATTGAAAATTTGAGGAAGACTCTGGTAACATTTATTTGTAAGATATGCATATGTGCATACAAGTAATTGAATTTTTTTATTTTTATGCGGGTATGCATAGACAAATTACTTACAAATTATTTGTATGCACATGTGCATACCTTCCAAATGAATAATTCAGGATGTTTCTCAATTTTTCATTTTTTAAGATTTTTCCATAAAACTTATACCTATGCATATGCATATACATATATATGGGGGGTTATTTTTTATGAATCTTGTATTTACGTACCTAGATCTATTCCTAAAATACTATCTAGGTGAAAAACACTTACATAGTTTCAATTATGGGAGGAAGAACCGACAGTACTAAATGAAACACTTTTGCCTACGGACTTTTTCTTTGAAAATTTGTCGCTAAAGAGTGATTCCTCACAAAACCATCACAAAAGTTGGTGGGTAAATTGTTGGTAGATAATTCAAATCAGTGAAAGATTAACCAGAGATTCTCTAGGTGAACAATAATCACCGACCAAAATTTCCCCGGATGATTTTTGTGGGTAAAAGTCATTTGTTTAATAGTGTGAGTGCTCCTAAGCTTATGCATTTAGATTTCAATCTTCAAGCAGCATTGTTCCATATATTATGTTCTTAGTTAGATGTTGGTATTGTTATGTTGTTCTTGATGTCCTTATTGCTTCCTTCAATTTTATGGGTTTATTTCTTAATTAATGCACTACTTGATTTCAATTTTGCACATCTTAAGTTTCTACACTTTCTTTCTTGTAAATATGCTCATTTAAATTTCTATATCTAATTTTACTGCACATTTTTGGCCCCATTACATTTCTGCACTTACTTCCCTGTACATTAGATTACGCAATTAATTAATGGTTCATGCATCAATTTTTTTGGTTTACTCTAGTTTTCTGCACATAGTTACAAATTCTGTACATATAGTTTCTGTATTTGGTTATCTATTTTCCTGCACAATAAGTGTTCTTCTGTACATAGTTTAGTTGATGGTCTATTGCTTCATTTATGTTTTGCTATGATTCTAGTTATTAATTATGATGCGGTGTCGTAATTTTGTTAGTCTGTTTGCCCCAATTTCAGCTCTAGATAGGTTTAATTTTGGCATCAAGTTGATGAATGGGCCAATAGCGTGACATAAGCAAGCTTAATTCTGTGTGTTTGGTGGCAAGTTTGACAACCGGGCTGAAAGTCAAGTCGCAATCGGTACTGGCCTCTTGTGCTTTACCATTGACAGCATGCAAGGCCCCTTTGTGTCTTTGCAAATAAGAATTCAGGTATACTAATGGTGATTGAGCAAATAAGAATTCGGGTACTAATGGTGATCGAGCAACAAATTATAATCTATGCATTAGTACTAATGTTTCCTCACATAAATTCACATAACTGAGTCAAGTGGAATTAAGGAATGTACCGAATTTTGAAACCTGAGATCTTGACTTTGCTACCTTTGGATGATCTTGAATCCTTGCAAGATCTAAAATGAAAGTTGAAGGATGTTGAATTTTGGGAGAAATGGAGTAAAATTGAGGGTTGAGGGGTTGGGTGATTTTTCTAGGGTTAGGGAGAAAATGTAGCGAAATTGTGAAATTAATGACCGAAATCAGCAGCTCCCAAAAATTATTACTACATCATTACGTTTTGGGATGATTTCTATAACCTCCAATTTGATAATATATTGTTGACCTTATTTCCAAAAACCTAAGGGTTACTCTGCAAGGTTTTGTGTAGGAGAAGAAGAATTTAGCGAATAAAGATTCGATTGAATTAAGATTTAAGCAAGTCAAATAAGTTGATTTCTCATTTTTATTTTAGCCCAAGAGTTTCTTTCATGCAATGCAATTCAATAATACGATAATTATTGATGGAGCTGGAACTGCTAACTAGGATGAATGCGCCAACACCCGATATGATGTCTGAAGATGAAGACCGCCTTTATATCACCCTTCAGTTCAAACAAGCAAAAAGCTTGTAAGGGGCCCTAACCTAATAATGTCTTTTGCCCGGAAAACAATTAGAATCGGGAAATGAGTCGAACCGCATTTCTCTCGTAACTATCCAAGAATTTCAATGTTTAAATCGAAGGTTCATGGTCTCAGACCTATGTCGATTCTTATAAGAAATTATCGCATGTCCAAAATGAAAATTTCAAAACAAGCTTGTGGAATCTATTTGGGGATCGATGTTCCCATTAAGCTCGGTCGTTTTGTAAGTGTTTCTACTCTAAGAGATCAGTCTCTTCCTTCTTAGTGATCTCATGATGAATATATGTTTGATTTACCAGAACCCCTTAAAAACATGACCAAATAACATATGTAGCAAGTCATGCAACACCCCTCATTAGAAACGAAACGTCCATTTGTTTTGTGATTGGAACGAGTATGATATATGTGCTATATGTTTTTCTAGTTCAAAGCGTTTGCTACTTGATCTAATTAGTTTATACGTATCTTATCGAATAAAAAGCGAAGTAACCATTATCTTTAAAGATATAAGAAGAAGGTCCACAAAATTTTGTACAGAACATAAGAACAGAAAACTAATTAAATTAAGATTAAATCAAGTAGATGGATGACTGGGAATCTTTCAAAATTTTAATACTTTCATTAGATTATCAGAGTAGTGATCTCAGAGCTGAAAAAATGGAGTGATTAAAGTAATATATAAATGACATCAACTTGAAATAAACAAGTTTCAGGTTCATAAGTAGAGAACACATCTAGAAGAAAGGGGATGGATGAGGCAACCACATGCCCTTCTAAGCTTCTATTGGAGTCATCAATGGGAAGCTTACTTAAAGCTTGTGCATAGCACGACCTCCACGTGAATCCATCCTTCAACAACAATGTCATTACTTTATACTTCAAAAGTCTTTCTGGCAAAGTCTTATCTTGCATCTCTCTCTCTCTCTCTCTCTTAAACAAATATCAGATTTGATCATTTCAATGGACGCTCTTTTCTTTAAAAACAAGAACGCAATTGCATCAGCTGATCTCTGAGGAGGATTTTGATTCCTAGATGATGTAAATCGCATGGTTTTATAATGCAAGAGGAGATCATGAATAGTTACCAGCAATTGTATAAATATACCAACTCATTGTCCTCATATTCTCATCGAACTTTCTTCATAAATCATTCTGTAAAATAGAACAGAAAGAAAGAAAAGATGTTGGTATTATCCCCTCCTTTGTTTTCCACAACCTATCGATGGCCTTTGGAGGATTTCGTTACCCAAAATCTTCAACAGGATTGTCATGATATTTCCTTATCAGTTGAAGAAAATGCATACCCTTCACTTATAAATATTCCTACATTTGATCATACTCAGCATGATTTTGCACCATCAAGTTCCATTTCATATGGAGGAGCTGTAAACGGCGATATTGGTAACCCGATAAAGGTTGCCAAAAAGCTCAACCACAATGCTAGTGAAAGAGATCGTCGTAAGAGGGTTAATGAATTGTATGCATTTCTTTGTTCACTGCTGCCCATATCAAGTGATCAAAAGGTACTTAAACACATCTTGGTGCTTTTGTTATTGTGAAGTCAGAAAAAAGCAACAAATTCTCAAGTTCCTTAAGCATTTGTCTTTTGAATGCAAGCATACGATTTTGAATGCAAGTTCTTACTAGTACCTTGTGTTTTTATTTAACTAACTACACATGTAATTGTTTCTTGCAACAGAAAAAAGTAAGCATCCCCGGCATTGTATCACACGCGCTAAAATACATACCCAAACTGCAGAAGGAAGTGAAGACATTGATGCATAAAAAAGAAAAGCTTTTATCTTATTCTTCACCAAAACATCTGGACATCAGGAATCATAGTGCTAAAGAAGCTATGATCCAAACTGTACCATCAGTAGTTTCTTCTGTGAGTGTCTTAGATGAGAAAGAAACTGTGATCCAGCTGATTTCCTCAACTGGTCATATGAACAAAAACAAGGAGATTGACTTCTTGTCTAAGGCTTTGGAATACTTAGAGGAGGTATATGGGCTTGTTTTGCTAAATGCTACTACCTTTGAGTGGTATGGAGACAAGAAGTTCTTAAACACATTGCATCTTCAGGTACGTAAACCTTCTCTTGTACGTGGCAATATACGGTGTTCTATGGAAATGATATATATAATCACTCATTGTTTTGAACAGATGCAAGGCGATCAGAAAATTGAAGCTGAAAAGTTGAAGGAGAAACTATGCTCATTCTACCAACAATATCATGAACTTTCACTCTGATTAGCATCTGGTGCAGAGAAATATAGCTAGCAATCAGAAAGCGTTAGTTTCTAACTCAATAATTGAGTTACAAACTAAAACCTTTTAAGGTGATCAAGAAAGAGATCACCAAGAGTGTAAAAATCTATTGATCTGTATATACTAGATGCTTGTGTTAGAGTTTCGGTTTAAATGGTATAGATATCGATGTAGAGAACATGGAAGGATCGTGAATGGTCATTGTTTCTAAGTAATATTACAACCGTTTTTGCAGCACACACACTACAACAAAATCGGGTGTATAGGACGTCTACAGTATTTTAAGTATCTAAATAGAGTGTTATATAGGACTTTAAGTTTAGAAGACCAAAAAATAAAGTGTCTCATCTAAAAGTGTTACAATAAGTTTATAGAACGCTTTTGGACGTCGTAACAAATTCTTTTAGGACATTGTGAAAATAAAGTATCATATTAGTTATTTTATAGAATAGTATTTGAAAAACTATCATATAATCACAATAGTCCTAAAATAGCTAATATGAGACTTTATTTTAAAAAAAAATTCTAAAAAACTTGTTACGGTGTCTGAAAGCATCCCATAAACTTATTGTAACACTTTTAGATAAAATACTTTGCTATGTGGTCCCATAAACTTAAATCTTATAAAACACTCTATTTAGACTCTTAAACATAGCAGGTGTCCTATAAAACCCGATTTTGTTGTAGTGACGGGTATCACAAAATTTACTCGATGAAATCCAAATACATATTCAAAATTTCTAGACAAAATCAAAAGCAATAACACACAAAGGCTTGTGTTTTCGATATATTAAAGAGAATATGGAAAACCCCTTTAAATAGGTAGTTATTTGTCCATTTATGTAGGTGGATCGGTAATAGGGACGGACCCAAAAAAAATTTCAAACAGTGGCACTATTTGACTACAAGAAAAAAAACTGTAGCGAAAAAATTTCAAACAGAGGCACCGGTTGACTATAAGAAACAAATATAATGAATTTTTTCAATCGGTGTCACTATTTGACTAAGAAAATGACACTAACAAGATTTGAATTTGGGTCTGGAGTGGAATAAAAGTCTTGCAAACCAACTATACCAAATAAAACTTGTTCACATTGTAGTTTCAAAATACATACGGTGGCACACAATAGATTAATACGGTTGCACCTTTCACGAACCTAAATTTTTTACCCTTCGACGGAGAAATAATATGGTGGCACGTGCCACCGTAACCACCATGGTAGGTCCGCCCATGATCGTTAGTTATTTATTAATAATATTAGTTATCAAATAACTACTCACCAATAAGAGCAATACGGTAACTCAGCCAAAATTTAGAAGAAGACGTGCCTTCTGAATTGAAGTCTCAAGTTCAAAACTAAAATCCAGAGAGCAACATGTCTTTCTAATCAATAATGTTCAAAAAGTAACATTCCTTTTGAAAAAGATTTTGGTGCATACCGTTTTGGGACAAGATCACCGCCAACGGGCTCTGCCCCTTGGAACCCCGTATGGGGGCGTGGCCCCTTGAACCCCCCCCCCCTCTCCTTTTACGGTAGAAGTGGAGCCAGTATATTGAATAAGAGGTAGAATCGAGCATAGATAAATAAAATAGAGATATTAATGTTCTTAAAATGAAAATTTTAAATGATCTGACTAAAATACAATGCATGAGAGAGGGAGCCATGCAGATGAATCAAAGCATGGTAAAAGAAATTGGGCTGCATTTTTAACATTTGAGGAGGAGCACATGCCCCCTCTAGTTACTACATGGCTCCGACATTGCTTTATGTCCATATTATAGCTTAACCAATGAATTCTCATCGATCTCAAATAAATTACAATTATTATAAATTAAGAATAATCCCAATTTGTAAATCAGTACCAAATTAGGTCAAAATCAATTCACAGAATCCCCAAGACAATGAACTATAAAGGCTACTAAATATTACCCGACTCCTTACACGAAACCCGGCTCCATAAAAGCAAATGCTATCTGAATCGTCATATAAAAATTGGGTTCCATAAGGAGCATTTTAAAAAAAAAACTATCATAAAAATCTTTAAGACGAAGAAAATGGATATTTTGAGTATTTTAGGTAAATTTTTTGCTCTAACAAATTTTTTAAAACTTTCTTTGAAATATAGAAATTAAAAGAAAGATAGTGAAATTCTTCCAGAAAATGATTATTTAGAGCATTTAAACAGGTTTTTTTTATATTTCTCTAAAATACAGAATTAAAATTAAAAATCTCTAAAAGAAATGACTCAACTCCGATAGATTCTCCATTTTAAAGATCAGAACATTCATTATATTATTAAAGTATATTTCACATATTTAATAAAATATCATTTCTCTCAATTTTAAATATTTAATTTCAGAGTTTCTTATTAGTAAAAATATAATAAACAAACATTTTTATCTCTCGTGGTAATTATTTTTGCGAGTTTTTCAAATTTTGAGAATTTCATACTTTCTCAGTTTTAGAGAATATATCAAACCAAAAAACTTGACCAAAATCTTCATTTTGAAAATACTCTCTTATGAATAGGAAATACTATTTTATTATTCCAATCAATAAATTAAAGAAATACTCTTCCGAATAAGAAATAACTTTTCATTATTCCCATCAATAAATTATATCATTGAAATTAAATATTTAGAAGAGAAAAATAATATTTTGAGTAAATTAAATTTTTTGGTCTTTATATTGTCACTCACTACCAAGTTTATTCCTTAATTTAAACAGTTTTGAGCAAAACATGTTCATACAAATATAAACTTATCGAGCTTGAGTCAATAAACAAGTTAATCGATCTCAAGTTAAACGACTTTGCAAAGCTTGATTTTTTGATATAATGTATAACTCAAATTTGTTAAACAATCGTCGAGCTTAAACATTGCAAAAATTTCATAGCTTGAGCCTTACTTTGAATAAGTTGTTCGAGCTCGAACTTTGTATTAAGTTTTCGAGCAGAATTCACTCAATTTAATTAGACATATTAAGAGTAACAATCAACAAAATTATTAGTAATTAAACTTCAGCTAACAAATCCTAACCCTCATAAGATAAAAATTAAATTTGATCTTTTTTGGGGTCAAAACCTTATTTTCTTGGGTATCAAAAATAACATATATATATATATATATATATATATATATTTGTAAGAACAAAAGTTTATAATACAAAAATAAAAGATATTGAAAGTTTATGGGGTCATTTGATAAAAAAAAAACATACATCTGTCTCAGGTTAAATGGATGAATGATCATACGAGAATAAAAGTTAAGGTGAGAAGCATAAGTGGATTGATCTGGTGCATTTTATCTCAGTGCATTCAAAGATGGATATCTCTTCTTACGCTTCTCACTTTCACTCTCTTTCTCATTGGAATCCAACTCTGGTTGAATATGGTTAACGGGGATGTGGAGGCTTATATGATATGAGAGAAGTCATGAGAAGATGGTATTAATCGGAGAAGCATAATTATTGGAATAAACAAAATTGGCAAAAAAAAAACCTCAGTTGCTTATGCAAAGAATCTTTGAGTTAAATGACCATTCCATTCATTCAAAATGGTTTTCTAACCATTTCTTTTCCGGGTCGATTTAAATTTCATTATTTCATCAATATCCAAATCCCCAATATAATGAACCTAGCTTAAGGCCAAAAAAATAAAATTTAACACAGACATGCAATTAAGATGGCCAATTTTGCAATCGCGATGGCCAGATCCATAATTGCGACAGTAAATTGGTTGAATTTGGCCTTTTTTATTTTTTAGCTAGGTCCATGATTTAAACAGTAAACTAATTGAATTTGACCTTTTTTTTATCCTTTAGCTAGATCCACAATATGTTGATATAATGACATTTGAGTCAAACCGGGAGAGAGATGATTAAAAACCAATTTGAATGAGGAAAATGATCATTTGAACCCATTTCTTTTATACAAATTACACACTTATTACTTGATTTGTATTAGGGAATGGGAATAAGGATATAGGAATTGTTGCAAAAATGAAAATAGAAATGATTATTGTATTGATCTTGTTTGGTAGATACCAGAAAATGGGAACAATCATTGCATGTATATTTTATCTTAAAACATTTTTAACAGATTTTCTAAAATTTCTTTAAAATAAAAATTAAAAGTCAAAATCTTCAAAAATAATTACAGTCATCTACATTGATTATAATATTAAAATATTTCATTCATCTATTAAAATATTATTTTTCTTTTTAAATACTTATTTTCAAAATTCCTTATTGGTGGAAATCGCATCTCCTTCATGCAATCTTTCCCGTATCTTGCGAGAAGGGAATAAAATAGCAGATTCACTGGCATCCTTTGCTCACGCTCATAGGACAACATGGTGGTCTACTCAGAAGAGAAGTTTCCCAGGTGGTAGGAGTTTCAGCTATAAAGCAAGAGGCTTGGAAGCTCTCTTTTGTCAGAGATGTGCTACATGTCGAACGATCATAGGAGAGAGACACTACCGTCGACTCCCTTCGGGCTTCACGAAGTACGCGTTCAATCAATTTTTCAAGTCAGAAGATACCTTAAGAACAGTGAAAGCAGAATCCCATTTTATTTAGTGAAGCCTTTGTCTCGTCCCTTCCATATGTCTTATTCGGCTTAGTATGTGCTTAGATTCGGTTAATATATTAAAAATATTTCTCCGATATGATAATCATTTTTGAGGTGTTCTTCATATTTGGAGAAAAAGACCTTTTAGGGAATTTATTGAAGCATAAAATTGGTTCAAAATCTTCATTTTCTCCATTGAAAATGCTCTTACCGGATAGAAGGGTAATTTTGAAACCGATAGGAATTAAGAGTGCTATGAGATTTAGGGGCCGTTTACCAAACACTTACCAAGTCACATTACCGTACCGAATGAATATGGTAAGGACCAAGAATCTTACCCGCTAAGAGCGAGACAAGGACCAAGTTTGTCTTACCCGGTAAGTGAGGGCGATGATTCTTCCCACGGTAAGCGTTTACCGGATAAATTATTACATGCGATGTCATTTTGGTGGATTAAAATTTTATCTGGTAAGTAAATAGTAGTTTTAAATTTTACCGGTAAACACTTACTGGGTAAGTATTTGGTAAACGACCCCTTAGTATATGATTCCTTGGATTATGTTGATCAACAACTCAACTTAACATAACCTTTGATTTAAAAAATTACAACCTTCCACCCTAACCCAACATAACTTTTTTTCTTTAAATTCATTACCTAACCTCCACTATTTTTAAAATATTATATATCATTTTAGATTATAAAAAACTACATAAAAAATTGATTATTTTCTAATTTTTTTATTAATCTTTCTTATTTTAAAGATTAAGTTTATAAACTATTTTTTAAATAAAAAAATATCAAACTTTAAATTTTTGAATAAAAAAATCATTTAACTTCCTCATTTTAGTTGATTAAATCCCTAAATATTTTTTAATGAATAAATCATCGTATTTTTTAAAATTAGTCATCTACATTCTTTTTAACCCAAAAAAAAGTTACATTAGTAAAAGTTTGAAGTTTAATTTTTTATTTTTAAAATTAGGGTCTTAATCATTCAAAATATAAAAACTTAATAGTTTTTTCATTTAAAAAAATAGATCAGGTTCTTAATCTCCATCTTTTGATTTTTTATTTTTTTTTAAATAATCGTTTCTATCTTATTTGTGAACAAGTTCACAAGTTAGGGTTCTTGTGAGAAACGTAATCTCCACCTCTTTGGAACAATCCTAATCGAAAGAGAATCAATTCCTTTTTTAAAACGTAATTCATAGGTGGACATGAGATTAAAAGTGATCAAGTGTTCAAATCTCTTCTTACGCATCTCACACAATCCTTCGCCTAAGGGGATGTTTACCAAACACTTACCCGATAAGTGTTTATCCATAAAATTTAAAATACTATTTACTTACTGGGTAAAATTTTGGTCCACCAAAACAACATCCTATGCAATAATTTACCTCGTAAGCACTTACCATGGTAACGTGTTGCCCTCACTTACCGGGTAAGACTCTTGGTCCTTGTTTTGCCCTTACCGGATAAAATTCTTGGCTTGTATCATATTCATCGAGTGAGGTTGTGTGACATGATAAATGCTTACCCGGGTAAGCGTTTAGTAAACAGCCCTTAAGACTTGTTTGTGTGTCTGGATTCTGTGTGTTTCTTTGCAGTTTCGAAAGAAAGATGGAGATCATTTCAGACTCCTCGATCGTCATAAGCATGACCAACCTCATTAAGTAAATGGAACTGTAACTTGGATCGGGCAGCCACACGAGAGAAGAGAGCATGATCCCGAAAACGATGTCTCCCTCCTTGTGTAACTACGCAAAAGAAAAACAAAAAAAGCACTCTCCCTACGCAGGCATTATCCTGTTCAGGTTCTAAGGGACTTTCTCAGCCTGAAACTGCCGCCAACACCTCCGCCCAGAAAGGGGTGGCGCTGGCTGAAGCAGTATGCAGACACCCCCGGTGCATAACTTATGTCAATACGATGAAATCAAGTCAACGGAAAATATTAAATGAACAGCATGAAGAGCTTCAGTTACTTGCAAATCAAAGGAAACAATCGTTCGGCCTTTCTCTTATTCTCCACAAACTAAAACTATGTACTTACCTACAGCTTGAACACGAGAATCTTGAACCTCATTTCATGCTAGGCCGATCTTGCAGACGATCCAAAGTCATCCTCCCTGACATAGATGTTCACCAAGTTAACCCCACAAAATGGAAACTAAGAACTAGTCGTCGATGTACGAATAAAGATAAATCAATGAACCAAACCTGTATCTTCCGTGTTTCTGAACGAACCGCATTAATTGGATGTATTATATGATATCTTATATAATAGTTACAAGTGCCTACGGATACGGGTGTGTGGCCCATTAGGTGTAGTCTCATTAAGCATTTGTATGCACCATACATGATTGGTAAAACGTTGTTTAGCATATTGCTTGTATCGTGCATCTTGCAAAAGTGTTGTCTAGATGCTATGTTAATAGGAAAAATTTTTTAAGAACCATGCCACTTTGTCTGCACCTCAACTAATCCCATGGAGCCCTGAAGGCCAAGAAAATCTACTCTTTAAGTATATAATATTTATACACGGCAAATGAAAACCACACCTTAATTTGGTGAGGTTGGAACCCTTGACAACCTCTAGGAAGGTTCAATTACTGAATACCGCTGGGCCAAAGGCCCTATGGTCCCTTAGGAGACGGTTTTTGGCGAGTAAAAGGAGTCTCAAGTCTAGGCTTATTTGCCGGTTGAGCAAGCCCTCAAGGTTAAACGCTAACTTCCAAGGCAAGGCACCCATCTTGGATTAATATGGATCATGTTCTTATACATTCAAGGGATTAAGAGACACTTACCCGACTAGAAATGATGGTCTTTACCAATCACCAACAATCTTACTGTGTCATTTTGCTGATCAAATCTTCTTACCTGGTAAGTGAGGGTGGTGTAGTGACTCTTATCCAATCAGCGCTTACCGGGTAACAGATGTTTACCGGTCAGAGATGACCAACATGCTTACTATGTCATTTTGATTACCAAGAATCTTACACTGTAAGATAATTGAGGATGGTAACGGTTACGCAGTTCGTGTTAGTAAACGGTTATGCAGTTTGTGTTAGTAAACGGCCACTAAAGATGGATGACGAATCTTGCAGAACTTGTAGTTGCATTAAAGAAAAAATCAGCAAATGCTACCAACCTTCATTTCTTCAAAGAATTGATGTACGATTCCGGCAAGTAGATTTCTCCGCCAGCCTCGCCATGTTGTTCTCCGCTCACAGTTTTCTTGGCAGCCTGAAACTCAGCACTCATGGCATCCATCCCCTGCTGAACAGCTTCTTCAGCACTTCCATAACCATGCTCCTCAGCATACTTGCGCACATCCTCAGTAATCTTCATCGAACAGAACTTGGGCCCACACATGGAGCAGAAATGAGCAACTTTTGCACCATCCGATGGAAGGGTTTCATCATGGAACGATGTGGCAGTCATTGGATCCAACGATAAAGCAAATTGGTCCAACCACCTGAACTCAAACCGAGCTTTGCTAAGCGCATCATCCCAGGCTTGAGCATGTGGATGACCTTTAGCCAAATCAGCAGCATGAGCGGCTATCTTATACGATATAACACCGGTTTTAACATCATCACGATTGGGTAAACCAAGGTGCTCTTTTGGTGTCACATAACAGAGAAGTGCGGTTCCAAGGGCTCCAATGTTGGCGGCACCAATGGCAGAAGTAATGTGATCATATCCTGGAGCGATGTCGGTAGTCAAAGGTCCAAGTGTGTAGAACGGTGCTTCATTGCACCATTCCAGCTGCTTTTGCATATTTTCAGGAATTTTATGCATCGGGATATGTCCCGGCCCTTCGTTCATGACCTGCAATATTCAAAAAAAGTCATCATATTGCAAAAATCAAGAATCAATATACATGGCAAGAACACATTGGCTTTGTTTGGCAAATGGGCTGATAACCTGGCTGTTAGCTGATGAACTAGCTCATAAACTAGGCACGTTAGGTAAAAAGTAGTTGATAAGTTAGATGACAATGTAAAAGGAGCCGGAGCTTATTTAAACGCTACTAGAAGTTGCTTTTCACAAAAGCTAGCTTATGGCTTACCAAATGGGGCTTTTTCAATAAGCTCAAAAATTAAGTTAGCTTATGGTCGCCAGAGATGGCCATTATAGAAACATACCTGCACATCCTTCGCCCAGGCTTTACGCGTTAGTTCACCTTGAGTCAAGAGCTCGGCAAATTGAGCAGTATCATTGGCATCATAAATCGAGCCCGGCCTTAATCCATCACCAATGGATAAGGCAATATCATATTGGTTGCAGATATCAAGGATGTCATCCCAGTGCTCATAAGCAAAATTCTCCTTGTGGTAAGCCAAGCACCATTTCGCATGTATCGACCCGCCTCGGGAAACGATTCCTGTCATTCGCTTTGCCGTTAATGGGATATAGCGGAGCAGAACACCGGCATGGATCGTAAAGTAATCCACACCCTGCTCAGCCTGTTCAATCAACGTCTCACGGAACACTTCCCAATTCAGATTCTCGGCGATTCCATTGACTTTTTCTAGTGCTTGATAGATCGGCACTGTCCCAACTGGCACGGAAGAATTACGGAGAATCCATTCACGGGTTTCATGGATGTGACGGCCGGTAGAAAGATCCATGATGGTGTCAGCACCCCACATTGTAGCCCATTGAAGCTTGTGAACTTCTTCTTCAATTGAGCTTACAACAGCAGAATTTCCGATGTTAGCGTTCACTTTCACCAAGAAATTCCTTCCAACAATCATTGGCTCCAACTCAAGGTGCTTCTTGTTGGAAGGAATGATTGCACGACCACGAGCAACTTCTGATCTCACAAACTCTGGCTCAAGCTTTTCGCGGGTAGCACAGTAGAGCATCTCTTCGGTGATGATTCCTTGCTTAGCATAGTACATTTGGGTGTATCTCGGAGGACCAGATTTCTCCCTCATATCAATCCAATCTTTGCGCAATTTTGGGAGTCCTATGTCGTATAGATAAAGTTAATTAATTGATAATCGAACAATATAACAAACTAAGCACAATAAACCAAACCAACCCAGTAAATCCCACTCAAAAGTAGGGTCTAGGGGATAAGATGTACGCAGGTCGGACCTCTACTCCAAAAGAGTAGAACAGTGAAACCCTCGGATACTACATAGATGAACCAAATGCTTAAGTATCCCAATGGGTTTATAAATCAAGATTTCTTTTTACCTAAATTAAAATACTCAGAAATAAGGAAAAAGGATCAAGATTTGCATACCTATTTGGGGGCTTATGTTTTGAGGACCACTGGTGTCATAGGTATCAAAATGTGGTTCATCCCCTGCCAGGTGAACGCGTCGAAATGGAACTTTAAGAACATTACCAGACTCTTCATGAACAACTTCCCTGTAGAGCAGGTTAAGAGATGATATCAGTTTTGTAGTTATTAATACCACAGAGAATCCGCTAAGAATATCTTGAGTTGGTGAGCATATGGGATCCACAATAGAGATTCTAACACAGATGCTCTATTAACACTATGCAGCAAGATTCAGAATGAGTGTCTAAATCATCTATAAGACAGACCAGAGCAGTAAGAAATTTGAAATTTGATTCAATCGCTGTTAGTGTTAGACATGTGAAAGCCCCATGAGATTACGGTTCAAAAGAGCCCTTGAGAAAAGAGCGGAGATCCCAACGTAAATATAGAGGAAAATGGACCATATCTAGCTGATGTGGGACTCCAACACTCCCCCTCCAACCAAAACTAGACAGAGACAGTGCTCCAAAGTTTCGAGTCCCTTTTAGAGGAAGACCCCCGCTCTAATACCATGTGAGATGTGTGGTTCCAACATATATAGAGGAGAAAGGGACTGATCTAACCGATATGAGACTCCAACAAGAATGTGAGAAAATTTTATAAAATGTCACTTTGGTTCAGTTACATTGTATAAAATGTTACTTTGGTTCGGTTACATTGTAAACTTAGCTAACATATTACACACCCATGAAGCCCATCGATTGTTGCCTAGTCTTGTTTATGATTCTTGTTCTTGTCTTTTCTTTTCGCTCACACTTTCGCACAAGCCAGGGATCACCATGAAAACAACGCTCCACCCTTTGGGGATAGAGGCCAAGACTGCATACATCCCACCCCTCCCATACCCTGCTTTCGAGCGGGATATACAGGGTTTATTTACAATATTTATATACGACAAAACTCATACACATTCTTGGCTTGAACCCTTGACCTCCAAAGAGGTTGGGATCTACCAATAACCCATATGCCACTAGGCTATTGACCCTTTGGCTAGTGCAACTGGCCTTGCTACAACAAAGTAATGATATCATGCATGCAAACAAAATTCTTAGCCCGTCTCTGAAAAATTGTACCATGAGTAAATTACCTATATTCCTTCGTGCTTTGTGGGAAACATTGTTCAAAAGACGGAAGCGGAAGAAAATCAGGGGCAGCCGGATCAACTGTGTTCTTCCTTTTAGTCTTCTCCACATTGGTTGATGGAGGATCAAAGGTCAATGTGGCACGAGGCACCATGATGCAAGATTGTGCTTCCTTCTTCCATAAGTTGGCAGAATCACCGGCCACATCAAAAACAGGCAAGAAGGAAGTCTTTGAAATCTTCGACAGGTTAGAATGGTTGCCATTTTTACACATAACGGATGTCAAATTAGCATGAATCGACGCCATCTTTAGATGTATCTGCCAAAAAAGACAGATTATTGACCATATCAATAGTGATCCGTCAAATGGATGTACGAATGTTATAATATTCACTAACAAAAAACATTCAAACAACCAAATGTGTATTTCAAATTCATCGAGTGGAGAAACAAATTAAAGAAAAGGAAAACATAATTTGGTTCGATAAGATAAAGATTGAATCTTGCCCATTCATGCCATGTTCATAAGAGCATCTCCAATGAACTCATTTTCGCACTTTTTTTGCCACATCATTGCCAACTCAACAAATTAAGAATCGTCATAAAACTCAACTCCATATGGTAGTAACTTACAAGAACACCACTTTTTGCTAAACTTAATTTGGATATACAAGTCAAAAATATACATATAAAAAACTAATAAAATGACATTTGACACAATAATCAAGACCAGAACTCAAAAAAAGTTGGAGACTTACAAGAACCACCCATTGTTTATGCTCTAAGATACATATATTTTCTACTTATAGTCACCACTTTAAAACCATTTCGTGATCCTGTCCCACGTCAGCCAAACATGGAACGGTGAGTCCATGGCGTGCCAAACGTGGAACAAGTTTTGTCCCATTCTGTCCCATGTACCGACCGCAGCCTAAGAGACAATATTATGGTCCTCTATCTTCATTTCAAGTTTCAATAGATTGACCATGCCTAAATGATAAAGCCACAGCCCCAACCCCGAGTTCTTGAATCTGATAGATTGTAGAACACAAAATTTTTACTCCAAAACACAACATTCAGAAATTTTACACTTCTTTTTGTTCATTTGTTTCAGTTTCTTGTAGAGGGTTATCGACATAAGCTAACTAGTTCCTGTTGAAGTTTAAAAATGTACATCCCAAAAATTAAACTCGAAATCAAAACAACTTTTTTCAAGAAAAGTGTTGCAAAATATAGTAACATGAAAAAGTCCAACCTTTTAAATTACTCCAATTAGATTGTGCTTACTAAAAGCAATATTTGGAAATAATGTATTAATCCATCTTCAGATAACAACCAAAATCCAGACTCCAGTTTTTAAATTGGGGGTTTATCAATGCAGAAGGTATCAAAAACAACAGCGATTACAGAGTAAATTAAAGCAAATCAAACACTTCATTTCCAACAATTTTCATGGGAGGATAGTGAGAATTTTGTTTATATAACACAACCCTTTTCAGTTTCATCTCTTAAGACTTTCAACAAGAACCCCAAACCAGTAATTACGACAAACACCCACAAAGAGCATGATTCATCTACCAACTGAATATATCAATTTTGCACATATCCAGTTAATCGAAGAACATGCATTGATTGAATTTGGGTAACAACTCAGAAAATATGCAATCCGAAACAAAAATCGATCAAGAAAGTATCTATCGTTGCAAGTAACAGCAAAAGTAAAAAAAAAATACAAACATGAAAAATAATCCATTTTTAGTCGATCAAATAATCGAATATTTGAAAGCAGTAATTAGAGCACAAGATTATCCATGGCGGAAGAGCAATATATAGATGCATTCATGCATGAATTCAGACGGCTAATGGGTACTAATTACATTTGCTCTTCGAAATATGCCGTCAGATGATCAAAAGAGTGTGTGATTTTGTGTGTGTGAGAGAGAGTAGAGAGAGAGAGGCAATGTACCACAAGATTGCGCCTCTTATCTCGAAAGCAGTAGTTAGTAGTGATGGATGAACGGAGGGGATGTGTAAGAAGACGAAGATGAGCGTAGTAGGTTAAATAAAGGCGCTTCCAGATCATCCTCCCAAAATAATTTCATTTTAAAAATAAAAGATTTTTTATAAAAGCAAATTAATTATAATTTAATAATATATTATGTAATTTTTTTTTATTAACATGGATATCCAACCAGCTATGCGAGTCGACTAATCCTAGGACGACCACCTACTTTGCAGATAACACGAAGTCACCATATTTGAACATCCATGGCTACAAGGGGATTTTTATTCTTCCTTAGATTTAAACTTGGGACCATCTGATACTTTTGACCTTTAAGTCAAGCTCAAACCAATCAGGTATCACTCTTGTGGTTTATTATGTAATTTTTATTGCATGCAATGAGCACATAGTTAACTTTATAATTAATATTATTGAAATTGTTTGGTAAACATAACATATAACTTATTTTTTGGATACATGTTTGGATGAACATAAGTTAGCTGATAAACTAGTTTATTGAAACGCTAGTTGGAGTAGCTTAGGAGAAACTTTTTTTCAATTATAACTCCCGTTAATATTAATTATAAATAAATATTAATGATTAATAAATAAAAATAAAAATTAATTATTACTAATATTAATAATTAATATTAGATAAAAACTAGTAATTAGTTTTAATTATATATTAATATTAGT